ACTTCTCGCATCCGATCGTCGGGGACGCAACGCTACCGGTCATCACACGTATGCCTTCACCTGTTTATATCTTCGAACTTTCTCCTCCGTAGTTCTGTTGTTGTTAGTTTGTGTAGTTTGTAATAGTTCTCTCGCGTAAGCTCATTTATTGTTTTATATGTTTTTAGTTGTCTCATGTGTTGATGTATTTTGTTAGTTGTATTGAAGTGTTGTACTAGATCCCGTGTGCTGCAATATCACTAGAGTAAAGTTTGTTTTGTTGTCTCACGTCTCTGATCTCTTCACTGTCTCTGCTTGCGTACGGAACGAACTAACCTGCTGTCATTCCCGTCGCCGACTTCGCGCTGGCAACGCTAGAGTGGCAGCTTGTAACAGCTATTGATGCTTGATATCCGCGCGTAAGTACTTCAAGGAATGCAATGCATCGGCTACCTTTTTTACATTCTTATTTCACGCGGATAGTGAGAGGGCGGCCGTATTTTGTCTTAAATCTCGTTATCGAAGGTTTCTTTTGATGTATCGACGCATTGTAGTAAGCGGCAGTTTGGTGGCTTGCTACAGTGCAAAATCGTCGTGCGAAGTGCATCGTAGCCGTCGTAGTGTACGCTTCTGGGTAGCCTGTAGTGGTTAAACCAACGATCGCGAAAAAAAAGGTCGTGAAAAGCTTTTGTGGCTTCCTTATGTCACACAAAGCAGTAATAAATTCGGCATGTTCTCATCGACCAACTTTTAAATTTCTATTCACAATTTATGGGTATGCACGCGATAGTTTTCATTCAAGCAGCAATGACAGTTTGTCTCTGACGTGTGGTTGCAGCCGTCACGACGCGACGCAGCAAGCTTGTCGCTTGGAAATCGCATGCATGCTGTTAGGGCTTAAGCATCAACGCTGTACTCGTCTACGGCGAGAGCCGGGTTCTTGGCGCTTCGCGATGATGGTTTTCGCATAATAAAATCACCAGTGCAAAGCTTCGCCTGGGCAACACCCATGCCGTACTATGCGGCTGATGGCAAAGGCAGCGTCGTTCTTGACCGAGTGGGGAGTGTTTGTATTCCGCTTGTATTCAGGAACATGAGACCTCAGCTCCATACGCGCCCTTGTGACCAGTCGTGGCCAAGATATCAGCGAACGGTAGATGCATTTGCATCCACAAACGAGATAACGTGTTCTTGTCTCTATAAAAAGAAGAACTACGACACCGACCCTACTCAGCAAATATTTGGGCATGGTTTCTTGCCATTTGTGTTGCGTTGCCTATCACACACTTTCTGCTCAACTGTGTTTTTTTCTAAAAAATAAATATAAAATTCGCAGCTTCCATAAAGCTGCTTTCTGAATTCCTTCAAATAAGAATATTTCACTACTTCAAAAAAAAAATGCGAGCGATATGCTATGGTGCTTGCTTTGCACGTGGGCTTGCACCACAGGCTGGTTACCTCTATAATGGAATAGGCAGGGAGCACAGCAATGATTCCATGTATTTTTCCTCCGCAAGTGCACCCATGAGAGTATCTCGAGGCTTGTGATAGCTTTCGAATAAGGCTATGCTAGCCTATCTTTTAAAACGCTGTTCAAAAATAACATCATGGATGCTCGTGCGAAAACGTTCGTGTTGGATGCACTTGCAAAACCGGAATCGCACGTAAACGGACTACTTGGCGTAGTAAAATGAGCGAACAAGCTCCGCCTACGTATAGCTTTAGCTGTGATATGCCACAGAAAGTTGTCGTGACGTATAGCTCTTGCATCGACCGTTGCGTCCACTTCAGAGAGCAAGCGTCTATAGGGATGCGGTGGGCAGCTTCGACGGTGGGGTGTGGGCCTAAGGAGATTTGCCAAAAAGAGTTGTAAAAAACGGTATAGCCATGTCTTGCCTTGAGTTGGCTCTCTCGGAAGCGTTTGAGCACAACGCACAGCTTTAACGCACATGTTGCGCGTCTTTTAAATGTTGGTTATCCTGTTCGTCAGAAAAGAAGTCAGAAAATCTTTGGAGAGCATGCAAAGAGGCAAAGCTGCTGGTGAGGATCAGGTAACATCAGATCTGCTGAAAGATGGAGGACAATTGTGTTAGAAAACTAGCCACCCTGCTTACGAGGTGTCTCCTGACGGGAAGGGTACCAGAGTCTTGGAAGAACGCTAACATCATCTTAATACATAAGAAAGGAGATGACAAGGACTTGAAGAATTACAGACCGATTAGCTTGCTCTCTGTAGTATACAAGCTATTTACAAAGGTAATTGCTAACAGAGTAAAGAAAACATTAGAATTCAATCGACCAAATGAACAAGCAGGATTTCGAACAGGCTACTCAACAATTGACCACATTCATAATGTCAATCAGGTAATAGAGAAATGCTCAGAATATAACCAACCACTATACATAGCCTTCATAGATTATGAGAAGGCGTTTGATTCACTAGAAATATCAGCTGTCATGCAGACACTGTGGAATCAACGTGTCGATGAAGTATATATAAACATCCTGCAAGAAATCTACAGGGGATCAACTGCTACCATAGTGCTTCATAAAGAAAACAACAGAATACCAATCAAGAAGGGTGTAAGGCAGGAGGACACAATCTCCCCAATGCTCTTTACCGCGTGCTTAGAGGAGGTTTTCAGAAGCCTAGAATAGGAACAGTTAGGGATAAGATTTAATGGCGAGTACCTTAGGAACCTGCGCTTCGCCGATGACATTGCATTGCTGAGTAACTCAAGGGACGAATTGCAACTCATGATTACGGAGTTAGACAAGGAGAGCAGAAAGGTGGGTCTTAAAATCAATCTGCAGAAAACGAAAGTAATGTACAACAACCTCGGAAGAGAGGAGCGTTTCGAAATAGGTAATGGTGCACTTTAAGTTGTAAAAGACTATGTCTACTTTGGGCAGGGAATAACCGCGGAGCCGAACCACGAGTTTGAAGTAACTAGAAGAATATGAATGGGGTCGAGCAGATTTGGCAAGCACTCTCAAATTATGACAGGTAGATTGCCACTATCCCTCAGAGGAAGGTATATAACAGTTGTATCTTGCCAGTACTTAGCTACGGAGCAGAAACCTGGAGACTTACAAAGAGTGTTCAGCTTAAATTGAGGACGACGCAGCGAGCAATGGAAAGAAAAATGGTAGGTGTAACCTTGAGAGACAAGAAGAGAGCAGAGTGGATTAGGGAACAAACGGGGGTTAAGGATATCATAGCTGAAATCAAGAAGAAGAAATGGACATGGGCCGCGCATGTAGCGCGTAGACAGGATAACCGCTGGTCGTTAAGGGTAACTAACTGGATTCCAAGAGAAGGCAAGCGGGTTAGGGGTGGACAGAAGGTTAGGTTGGCAGATGAGATTAAGAAGTTTGCGGGTATAAATTGGCAGCAGCAAGCACAGGACCACGTTAACTGGCGGAACATGGGAGAGGCCTTTGTCCTGCAGTGGACGTAGTCAGGCTGATGATGGTGATGATGATGATGATGATGATGATGATGATGATGATGATGATGATCCTGTTCGTGCAGTGAGGATTGTCGCTGAAAATTTAAAAGCCCTTTATTTCAAGTCAGAGCATGGCCGCAGTGAGTTATTATGAAGTGTGTCGTAGGTATACCGTACATTCGTTGCGTATCTCACAGGCTAAAGGAAGTTGGAAGTAGATACGGAGTTAATGTTGTTTTGCGGCTGCTAATAAACTAGGTAAGGTTTGCACCGGTGTGCGGATAAGGATGAGAAAGTAAAAGCTAACAAGCGGGCTGATATTTGTTTCGTAAACATTTTAGCGAATTCGCCCATTGCCTTACAAGTGTAGTGTATAAGGTCCCTTCCAGCTGTGGCCCCTTCTACATGTAGACAGAATTAATCACAAATTTTTGGAACGCAAACCGGAGGCTCACATTCTAATTTTTCTTTACATTTTTGTGAATTTACGCCAAAATTTGATCAATGCGCAGTTTTGTAGGAATGAAAAAAAAGAAAACACTTCTGATGACTGAGTATATGTACCGGTTACGCATGCGTTAGCCTACTGTTGATTAACTTGCATAAGGATGAAGTATATTGGCTCAACAGTTATTTTCAATGTGGACCACGTGTGTCAATACCGCATGGGCATGCGCAGAATAGTTTTCGTTACCACTGTTGTGCGCGTCTTGAGTGACCTCCTTCCTGTGCCCTGTCTTTTTCAGAATGATGAGCTCTTTGTTATTACAACCACGTACACGATGGGATCACTGACGTACAATATCTTAGCCATTCTAAGATCTTCAACTAATTACAGATCATTCATACCACGGCACACCTTTGGAAGAAACTATACCCACATGCGTAACAGAACCGCAGTCTTTTACCCGTTATAAAACCGACCTACTTTATTTCATGCTCTTGTTCCTTTTCTGCACGAAGGGAACATCTCGTGTTTCTGGCGTCATAATTATTTTTCACGCACTCTATTATTTGTAGACCAGAATATTTCATTTCGTTTACATTTATTGGCTTATTTTTGAAAAAAAAAAACCCTTGGTGAAATATCTGGGGGAAAATAGCTCACGGATTAGTTGAGAGTGTCCTGGCCGACCTCCCCACCGGTATGTCATTGCAAACGGTGGTTACAAAGAGAGAGAGAGAGAAAAAGAATGCCCACATAATATATGGCTCATGGCTCATATGCATGCAACAACGAAGCGTGTTTGCTCAGACGACGAAAGAAATCTTTAAAAAAAAACCTTCCTACGACAAAGAACGCAAACGAAAACGAATAGACGACAATGTCTGCAAGGCGCGTTCATGGTAAGCAAATTATGATTAACAGTCTCCGTAGTTTTCTCATTGAGATTTGTATAATGTTAGAAAGCTTACCTTTCCTAATTAGCAATGTTGGTTAATTAGCAATTGAACATGACCCTTTACAACTGCTTCATATGTGAGTTTCGTGCCTCTGCCTTTATAATATAACGGGGGTAGACATCTCCATGTGAGTAATGAAAGAATCGAAGTGAACTGATTGCTGACCTTTCCATTGCTCCAGCCTGTGATGAGCTCTGGCTTCCCGTCGCCGTCGATGTCATATCCGTGCAGGCACACCGCTTGACTCTTCGACTGTACTCCCAAAAGAAAGAAATTCGCGCAGACGGAATTCGTGAATCGATTTCAACCAGCCATTCATGTTACGTACGATCTGCGGCAGCAAGCATTCCTAAAAGGGCCCTGAAACACTTTTTCAAGTAACCATGGAATTAATTGATTGGTATGTGGGGTTTAACGTCCCAAAACTACCATATGAATATGAGAGACGCCGTAGTGGAGGGCTCCGGAAATTTCGACCACCTGGGGTACTTTAACATGGAATTAATTCACTGGAAGAGTTTATTGCCTCGCGAATTCAACGCACCGCAAAAATTTTAGGAATTCGTTCAGTGCGAGTGGAGTTACAAAGGTTTGTCGCATGCTGCAATTGCATTCTTTTTTTCCGTCCTGGCGAAAGCACTGGAAGATTAGCAGGGAGGGATGGGAGGGCCACAGAAAAATGTCACGCACGCCTCGTGACCTTGAGCACTTTTTTTCTTCGAATGCGTGGCTTTTTCCAGTGTGATCGCGCGCGCACGCGTCGACAAGTAGCGGCTTCCCGCGGTGATCTTTGTAACGAGCGAGCGCGCCATGTTCAAATCAGCCAATGGCTGATAGATGGGCTTGCTACGTGTGATTTTTGGGCATATTCTGTGATTTGTCGAAAGAAGAGAAATAAACTTTTAGCTGATTTTGATAATTTATTGTGAATTCCAGGCCACGTGCTGCGCTGTAATATATGGCTCGCGTGCGTGTTGTCGGGAGCCTCTACTACTGATCGGCAGCGTTTTCTGACCATGCTCAAAAAGTGTTGCAGGGCCCCTTTAACACTGCAGTGCAAGTGTCGGCTAAGAAGAGAAAAAGAGAAACTTTAAATGTTCATAAATCGCGGCATTGCAAATTGTCGGACCCTTAGGCCCTTGCCATCATCTCTACCCGTTTGACTATCCAGAGCTGAGCTGATCAGAAGTGCTCTCCTCCCCCCCCCCCCCCCCCATTGTTCCTTTGTGTTTTTCATGTTTGGCCAAGGAGATAAAAAAAATGTTGCTATAGCGGAATCTCCCGTAATGTCTTGCTGCAGCGAAACTGCAGCCAGCGTTTGCCCTCCAAAGATCTCGGAAACATGCTCTTTTCTCCACTTATATATGAAATGGAGTGTCTTTGATCTGAATGGTGCTTTAATTATAAAATAAAAAGATTACCGACAGAATGACACATCGACACGAGTATTGGTGGCTTCACTAAAATTTGTCGAGGCTTAGTGTATATCACGCACTGTATCTCAGCCGATTTTAATCTCTGTGGCAAATCTCTTGAGACCGGGAAACACTGCATGCTTCGCCCCTCTCACGTATGAGCTATGTAGTACAAGTCTAGTATAAATGATAGCGTGCTTCTATTTTCTTCCCGCGTTGACCAAGCGCATTTTCGAAGGAGAGACACCTTGATCCTCCAAAGGCGCTCTGTGGCTCGGTAGACGCCGATCGTTCCGTTGGCGAGTGCGTAGGCGAAGCAGTCCAGCGTCAGCGGGCACAGCGCCGTCACGGCCTCGCTCTCGCCGATCTCGGCCACGATCACGTCACCGCGGAACACGCGGATGTCGAAGTCCTCCGAGCCGACGAGCAGCTGCAGCCATGGTCTAAGGTTATATGGAAGAAAGTTCGTGTGTTTGTGGGGAGGCGAGAGAGACGGGCTCACCTCATTCAGGCCGTCTTTGTTGAAGTCGTACAAGGCGAGCGCCCGCACGTTGTCGCCGGTCACCTGCGAAGGTAACATTTCAGTGTTTAGGTGCATGACCGGGATTTTGGGGGAAATTAGAGTTTCTGTAAGTGCTCCCAATGCTGCCTAAAGGTAACTCAAGTAACTTCAGTGGGCATTAGGGTATCTGAATGGTTTCGCTTGTGGAGGTCTCGATATGGCGAGCGAGCGTCACGCTCGTGGAGTGAATGGACACAGCATACGCGGTCAGCACAAACCAGCTACAACACACATTTACTTAACTACTTTTTGATCGACGATATCGTCAGCCGAATTATTATAACATCAATCGTGATCAGCACGCTAAGACATCCTTACACAATATTACCATACGTCAGTGACTAGACACGCTTTGTCACGATGTTGTGTTATTTTCTGTGTATTCCATGTTATTGATGACCGCCCTATTACTTTTTGAAGTTTGTACCCCCCTTACTCAATGCTCTCATTGAGCTTGTAAGGCATCATAAATAAATAAATAAATAAATAAATAAATAAATAAATAAATAAATAAATAAATAAATAAACATGACAAACAGAAACACACTCAAGGTGGCGTCGCCCACGCTTGACTCACAAGGAACACGGCAGACAGCCCACAGTGCCGTGCACCGGGGCCTCCCCGCGAGACAACCGTTTGCGCCAAATGCGACCAGAAAGACTCGCGCAACTCTCTCTGCCGCCAACTTGCCTGCCGCCAGTGGTCACTGCCGGTGCTAAGGTTTTTAACCATGATGATGATAGTGGTGATCACGATGGATGGATGGATTGATATGACTGTATCCTTTGGATTGGGTGGAGGCTAACGCCACCTAGCCGAAATACTTACTGAACCAACAATCAAGAACTTTTTTTCTTTATTTTTCTTTTTTTCCCCTTTAAATAGTGAAGTTGAGGATTGGTGCTTTGCAGTGAAGGATTTAATTTTCACTCGTGCCTTGATTTCAGCCACCAATCATATAACCTCCGTCTAGTTATTTCTACCCGCTTAAAGTCTATTTTGCCGTCGCTGTCCTTAAGCCCCTGTGCTTTGAAAAACTCTGCGCCATCATCTTGAACTATAGGGTGAAGCCCTTCACAGAACATCAAATGTATATACCGTGTCTACACCTTCTTATTTGGTCCGATATGTCTTGGGTCGCAATACTTCCGTCCTGGCCTCAAATAGTAGAGAACTACCCTGAGTATTATCATAGATCATTTCCTCGGCAATTTACTGCTTAAAAGTTCGATAGATCTCTAGTGCGGACTTCTTAATCATGCCAATTCTCCACATGTCGGTCTCAGCTTTCTTCACCTTCTTCTTAACCGATAATTCTTTTTGGTTTGGCCACCTGCTGTTTTCGAAGTATTTACCAGCCAACTTCCTGGTTCGCTTCCTCCATTTTGTATCGACATTCTTCATGTACAAGTAGCTGAAAACCTTCCTAGCCAAGCGCTCCTACCCATCTCTCTCAATCGCTTCTCAAATTTTATCTTGCTGCTAGCTTTCCTGCCCTCAAATGATGTCCATCTCATATCACCTTGTACTGCCTGATTTGGTGTATTCCCGTGAGCTCCTAAAGCAAGCCTACCTATTGCACGTTGCTTAATTTCTAATCTTGCTTGAACTTCTGATCTCATGCACAAGACCGCATTGCCGAACGTCAGACCAGGAACCATGACCCCTTTCCATATTCCTCTCACAACATCATACCTATAGTAGTTCCACAGTGCCCTATTTTTCATGACTGCTGCATTCCTGTTACCTTTAGTCGTCTCGTATATTTCGTGTTTCCTCAGGTACTCGGTCCCATTGCTTATCCATACGCCCAGATATTTGTATTTGTCTGTTATTTCTAGCGTGACCTCCTGTATTCTAAGCTCACTACCTTTGTTGTCATTGAAAATCATGACTGCTAATTTTTTCCTACTGAACCTGAAATCTGACTTATCTCCCTCATTACCGCAGATGTCCATCAATCTCTGCAAATCTTCCTTGTTGTCGGCCATTAGCACTATATCATCTGCGTACCTTAATGCTAGCTGGTAGTGCCTGTTCAATGAGTTTTCCTTGTTTGATGAAAGAGAGGTTGAAGCCCAGTCCACTTCCCTCTAATTTGGCCTCTAATCCTTGTAAGTACATCATGAATAACAAGGGTGACAGAGGACACCCCTGCCTAAGCCTCTGTTTCACCTCTGTGGGCTTGGATACTTGTTATTCCCACTTTATAACTACCTTGTTACTTTTATAGATTTCCTTTAAAAGAGTAGTGACTCCATCTTCCACACCCAGTGTGTCTAGTATTCCCCACAATTCCTCTTGAACCACGCTATCGTACGCTCCCTTGATATCCAAACATGCTAGCCACAGGGGCCCGAGTTCCTTTTCTGCTATTTCGATGCACTGCGTCAGTGAGAACAGATTGTCTTCCAACTTCCTGTGTTTCCGAAACCCATTCTGCAGTTCCCCCAGCACCCTCTCATCCTCTATCCATGCCTACAGTCTTTCCTTTATAATCTGCATCGCCAGCTTGTAGACCACTGATGTCACTGTTATAGGACGGTAGTTGTTTATTTAGTTTCACTTCATTTCATTTATTCAACCGTAAGGGCCCGAAGATATTACATAAGGGGGGGAGGTCGTACATCCAGGTTGTAAGTTCCTAGGCAATGTAACAATAAGAGGGTACACACTGATTACAATGAATGAGCAAATAAAGAACACAAGCGGAAATAACAGGCATAACAAAACATAAAAAATATAATAGGCGATAAATAAATTCTGGGAGTACAGTAAAACAACTATAAACGCAAGAGTTAATGTGCTGTTAGGACATCGTATTTGGATTTTGGAAAAGAGTTAGTTTTTCGCGAAATTTTGAGCGGTCCCTGCAAGAAACAATGTTATCTGGCAGTGCATTCCAGAGTGTTACGGCATGGGGGGAAAATGAGCTGCTCATCGCTGTCGTCCGGCATTTTATGGTCATCAGAGGGTGCGTATGGGACAGGCGAGAGGACGTTTTTAATGGGCATTTTGGGAGAGAGTGTCCTGACCTGCTAAAGGAAAAGAATGTGTGAAGGAGGCAGATACGAGAGGTTATGCGACGTAAAGCGAGCTATGCGAGTGACAACGTTTGTTTTAGTGCGGTTACGCTGATATGCCTTGAATATTGTGACGTAATGAAACGAGCTGCGTGATTTTGAACGGCTTCCAAATCATCGGTGAGATAAGCTTGTGAAGGATGCCAGATGGATGACGCATACTCGAGTTTTGGTCGCACGTATGTCAGATAGGCGAGTTTCTTTATGTCAGGAGATGCAGATCGCAGGTTACGTCGTAAGTAGCCTAATGCGGGAAGCTTCAGAACGAATGGTTTCAATGTGTTTCATCCATGATAGTGATGATGTCAGATGAACTCCTAGATACTTGTAAGTACGCGTGTGATCAATGGGAACCGAATTAATGCAGTAGGTTTTATGTGAGGTGTTGTGTTTACGTGTGAAGGACATGACCTTGCATTTAGCGAAGTTTAGGGGCATATGCACCATGAAGTGATAGTGTCAAGGTCGTGTTGTAGAGTGATTGCGTCGTTAAAGGAGTGAAGGGGGTTATAAAGAACGCAGTCGTCTGCAAATAGGCGCAGTTGTGATTTAATGTCACTAGGAAGGTCATTCACGTATATAAGAAATAATAGAGGTGATAAGCCGGCGTCCTAGGGAACACCGGAAGTGACGCTGGTAAGGGCTGATTGGAAATTGTTAGCAACGGTAAACTAAATGCGTCCTGTTAAGAAATGCTCGAGCCATTTTATAAGGTATGGGGGGATACCAAGAGCGGATAATTTGATGAGCAGGTGCATGTGGGGTACGCGATCGAATACCTTGGAGAAATCTAAAAAAAAATGTATCTATTTGTACGTGATCATTCAATCGCAGTAGTATGCCATTATTAAATTCAGCCAGTTGTGTTTCGCAGGAAAGATACTTTCGGAAACAATGTTGAAAAGAATAGAAAAAAAACTGATTGATTCTAGGTAAGACAGGAGAGTTGATGCTATAATATGCTCAAGGATTTTAGATGGGACTTTAGTTAAGCTAATCGGGTGGTAGTTAGCGGGGCTTTCGCGCCGGCCTGCTTTAAAAATGGGGACTATTTTAGCTTTCTTCCAATCTTCTGGCAAGGTTCCTGTGTTTAAAGATTGGTTAATTATAAGGTACAAAAATGTGCTAGAGTGTGCTATAGTGTTTTTTAATAATTTGGAATTGATGTCGTCGCAGCCAGCCGAGGATGATATTTTAAGAGAGTTGATTAGGTTGCATATGCCATCCAGGTTTACTTGTATGTCAGCTTTATCCCCCTTTCCTTTGTAGATCATGCTCATCCTGCTAAGTTTCCATCCATCGAGAACTTCACCATCGATTATTATTTTGCTCACTGCCTCTCTCAAAGCCTGCTTAGACTTCGGACCTAATGTCTTTATCAGCATAATTGGAATGCCATCTAGACCTGTTGATGTACTACTAGGAACCCTCTTCTCAGCCCTTTCCCACTCTCGTTGTGAAAATGGAGCCATTGCGCCACTTGATTCATCCTTGTATATTATGGTACATAAAGCACTTTTTTGTTGAAATTTTTCTGTCACCCTTGTTCTTATATATTCAATGGCATCGTCCCCTTTTAGCCTAGTACCTTGAGCTGTAGTTATAAACCTCTGCTCTAGGCTCGTCTCATTTTCTTAGAGAGTTTAGATGGTTAAAAAGTTTCGCAGTTGCCTTCCTATCTTTTTAATGTACTTCTGCCAGCCACTGAGCTCCCTTCTAATCTTTTCATCGATCAAAAAGGATGCATCCCATCTACAGTTTAGAAAGATTTCCCATTTTCCTTCAACATCATCTGTCGGTTCACCCCGCTGCTTAGCATGTCTGTGTTCCCTAGAGGCTTCGTGACGTTTTGCTATGGCGCTCTTAACTTCCTCATCCCACCAACTTTCGGGTTTGTGTCTTTTTTTCCGGGGTGACTT